TAAAAGGAACAAAGACGATGAGCGTTACCTCGACCTGATCAGAGAGGCCAATGACACCACCAAGCTCACCATCTACGACGCCCGGCCCAACGTCAACGCCGTGGCCAATAAAGTGAGGTTTTATGTCTAAAGCCACACCTCTCATCCATTTTTATACTGAATGTTTCCACTACTCATGATGTACATCAGAAGCTGATCCTCTTCATCTCCCCTGCAGGCGACCGGAGGAGGCTAGAGGGCGACGAGTATCAGAATGCAGAGCTGATCTTCCTGGACATCCAGAACATCCACGTGATGAGAGAGTCCCTGAAGAAACTCAAAGATATCGTCTACCCCAACGTGGAGGAGTCCCACTGGCTGTCCAGTTTAGAGTCCACACACTGGCTCGAACACATCAAGGTACGGCCGTCCACATTTTTGATACCACATGTTTTTCAAACGATACAATCTCTGTTATTGTAAAGCTTTAAAAACACACAGAGCACTGTCTAAGTTGCACAAATAAGTTGGCAGCTTCTTGAAAAATAAGTTTTGCCCTCTTTCACAAAATGTTACGGTCATGCAATGGTTAAGTAATGCTGAGAGTGCCCTCTGCTGGATCACACTCCAAACTACTTCAGACGCCTTGATGCGCTGATAGACTGAATGTTTTTAAGCTGAATGGCTCATTACAGTTTGAATGTGAACTTTCTCCCTCAGGTTCAAAAGAATGTTTGACTGTATGAATGAACAGCTTAATAAAGAGTCTCATCGGTTTCTGCAGCTGGTCCTGTCAGGAGCCATCCAGGTGGCCGATAAGGTGTCAAGTGGAAACTCGGTGGTGGTTCACTGCAGCGACGGCTGGGACAGGACGGCTCAGCTCACCTCTCTGAGCATGCTCATGTTGGACAGTCACTACCGCACGCTGCGAGGGTTTCAGGTCAGTTTCTGTACAGCACGGTGAGCTTTCACCTGGGGAGAATCTGACAGAGTCTCAGGAGTATTTTCTACTGATCATGATGATTTGCACAGCTGATGTTTATTAATATCACTCCTGACCTATATCGTTAGAAAGCTTCTGATCGTGTAAACAATCTCAAGATCCAACCACAACAGCAGCCACAATCTACACATCTGTCAGACCAACACAGAAGCTACAATCTACACATCTGTCAGACCACCAAAGCAGCTACAATCTACACATCTGTCAGACCAACACAGCAGCTACAATCTACACATCTGTCAGACCAACACAGCAGCTACAATCTACACATCTGTCAGACCAACACAGAAGCTACAATCTACACATCTGTCAGACCAACACAGCAGCTACAATCTACACATCTGTCAGACCAACACAGCAGCTACAATCTACACATCTGTCAGACCAACACAGAAGCTACAATCTACACACCTGTCAGACCACCACAGCAGCTACAATCTACACATCTGTCAGACCAACACAGCAGCTACAATCTACACATCTGTCAGACCAACACAGAAGCTACAATCTACACACCTGTCAGACCACCACAGCAGCTACAATCTACACATCTGTCAGACCAACACAGAAGCTACAATCTACACATCTGTCAGACCAACACAGAAGCTACAATCTACACACCTGTCAGACCACCACAGCAGCTACAATCTACACATCTGTCAGACCACCAAAGCAGCCAGCAGCCACAATCTACACATCTGTCAGACCACCACAGTACTGTACTGTCTGTTGACCTACTGAACCCTTCCAATGTTTGTGTTGTTTCAGGTTCTGATTGAGAAAGAGTGGATCAGCTTTGGACACAAGTTCGCATCAGTAAGAAACTTTTAAATCCTTTGTCTTCAGGATGATCAAAGTTTAGTCTCACTTCATTATTAATCTGTGTGTGTGTGTGTGTGTCTCTGTGTGAGCAGAGGATAGGACACGGAGATAAGAACCATGCTGATCAGGACAGATCTCCCATCTTTGTTCAGTTCATCGACTGTGTGTGGCAGATGACCAAACAGGTACGATCACGACCCTTACTAATGATGGTGATCTTTACTCTCTGGTGTTTGATTTAGCCTCATAAATATATACACACATATACATTACTGATTTATGACTCCTCTCCTCTCCTCCTTGTCTCCCCTCTCCTCTTAGTTTCCCACAGCCTTTGAGTTCAATGAGCGCCTCCTGCTGACCATCCTGGATCACCTGTACAGCTGTCGCTTTGGGACGTTTCTCTACAACTGTGAGAGCGCACGAGACCAGCACGTAAGACACACCCGAATCCTGACGAACTACACCTCAACCACACACTTACCTCAACTGAACTATAAATGATCTACATCCAGGTCACACCTCAATCACATATTAAATACTTTTGTTTCCCTCTGCCTGTCCCTGGGGGTCAGTGAAGGTATCATCATCGACCTCTTTGTCTTGGTGTCAGTGAACGCCTCACGGCCTCTCCTTTCTGTGTCTGCAGGAGCTGCGGTTGAAGACTGTGTCTCTCTGGTCTCTGGTCAACAGTAAGATGGAGAATTATTTAAACCCATTCTACACCCCTGAGTCCGGCAGAGTCCTGTACCCGGTGGCCAGCATGCGCCACCTAGAGCTGTGGGTGACTTATTACATCCGCTGGAACCCCCGTATGCGACAGCAGGTAACAAGGAACATGCAGTACAACCGACAGTATGAGGAGCGCTCCCTCAAGCTCCTCCCACATGTCCAAATATGGTCACTTCCTTCCAAGTTATCATAATTTACTAAGTTAACATCATGCACGTGTGTCCTGTTTGTGTGTGTTGCAGCAGCAGAGTCCCGTGGAGCAGCGCTACAAGGAGCTGTTGGCACTCAGAGACGAGTACTTGAAGAAGCTGGAGGAGTTGCAGCTCTCTGACTCGTCCCCCTCTCCACGCCATGCCAACAGCCCCGGCCCCAACACCTCCCCCTCTCCTTCCTCCCCTCCTTCACAGCAGTACACACACCTACACACTCCCCTCTGAGGGCTGCTCACACACACACACACACACACACACACACACACACACACACACACACACACACACACACACACACACACACAGTCTCTTGCACTTATGTCCTGTTCTGGTTTGTGTGTCACAGGGAGCTAACCATGCTAATGTGCAGTGCTAACTCAGAATGCTAATAAGATTTAGATTTGATCGTGAGGTTTTAACGACACAGAGGTGAGGATGGTGATAATGATGGTGATGATGATGATGATGTTGATGATGTTGATGATGATGATGGTGATTTATGCAATATGTCACAGTACAGCCTTTAACACACTTTTTTACACACACTCGAACAAAGAAGCCTTAAACACGAACAGTTGCTTTATGTCCAAGGGCTTCAACACACACACACACACACACACACACACAGACACATACACACAAACACACATGGGACACACAGGACACCTTGCAGGGATCGCTCTAAATGATCAACCTCCATTCTTCATTCTTCTGCATCGGAGAGCTGCGTACAAAGTTACCGATGTCGTTGCCAGACGTTCGATTATTATCGGGAAACTTGAATCGAGTCCGATAGTCAGCACAAGTTTGATTATTTTAAGCTCAAGTGAGTTCACATGAAACTGTTTCCTGAAAGTCTCTCAGCGTTGAGAGTCTGCTCATGTTTAATCAGATAACAACCAAACTCCATTCAAAAAAAGAGCATGATATCCTGTCTCCATTGGAGGGACGGGTGGAGTCAGAAATTTGAGAGGAGTGACGAGCAGCGAAGGGCTTAAGTATCTATGTTTTTCTGAAGAAACTTGAAGGAAGAATATTCTCAGGTTCCGACAGACATTGAGAAAAACAAAGATCCTGAAGTCCAGATGTATGTAAGGCATGTGGTTTAAATCCACTCAGGTGTTTCTTACCTGCAGTCTGAGCTCACACGAGGCTTCTTTAAAGAGATCAACCTGAACGTTTCTCCTGCACGTGTCCTGATACATGCTCACCTGTGTCCTGTGTGTCACCAACATGTCTTCAGACCTGTTGCTACCTGCTGCACTGCTGCTGAGTGTCGTTGCCCCATGAAGAGTAGGTCCATGTAGAGATCGATCAGGTGAGAGCTGAGTCTGTCTGGAATGTGGCGGCGGAGGCGGTGTCTGTGAGACTTGTGTCAGTTCCTCTGACAGACTCAAACAGTTCTCATGAGGTTACAATAATCAGTGATTAATATGAACAAAGCTTAGATAGAATTAGAACTTTATCTTCAGGTGCTGAAGCGCGTGTAAGGGAATGAAGTGGTGCTGGCCTCTGATCCTGAACACAGTCAGTCAATGATGGCCTTACAGACCGGGACAGGGTTCTCCATCCCTCTCACATACCCTCTGTTCCCTCTTCGGCAGATAATCTGTCCTCCATCCCAGGATGCTCACAGGTGATCTGAAGCACGGTGCCTTTCGGACAGCTCTTGGTTTAGTGTGCAACAGTTTATTTGACTTTTCCACCTGAACTCTAAAAGTTTGCAACTGGCTCCAGTTACCGGCTTTGTGAAGGGAACGTGATTCCAACCGCTTCTTCGGTTGTCTGAGGTCTCTTGATTCTGTAACAATCACAAGAGAACTCACAGGAAACATATTTTCAACACTTTAAACTGGTTTACTGACATTTGGAAATCTTTAGATACATTTATCCTCCCGATAATAAGTCGTACTGGAGCATCAGCTGACCTCCCCACAGGGGTCGTCACCATACCAGAATTTTAAACTTCAATATGTTTCTTGTAGAAATCAAAATATTTTAATACCTGGTTGATACCACAGCCACAAAGAACAAGTACTACACACACAATATTCGGTCTTTTATTGTTTTTAATGATCAAATATTGCAGGAAATATTTAAACTTTCTCAATTGGCAACATGCAGGTCGGGATTTTGGTAGGGGGCTTATAAATAAAGCTGATTGGTGTCCCTGTAGAGTTCCCCTAAAACCGGCTTGTCCACAGAAGTCCCCGTAAAGTTCCCCGTAAAACCAGCCAGTCCATAGAAGTCTTCGTAAAATTCCCCTAAAACCAGCCTGTCCACGGAAGTCTTCGTAACGTTCCCCTAAAACCAGGCAGTCGGTCCTCAGGAGGCGCTTTAATCCAGCCTGGGTCACTTCATTAACAGAGTACTGTAAGAGATACCTGCACCATGTTGGCCACCTGGCAGACCATCACTAGAGAATGTAAGAAGAATACACAAATGGATAGCTCCCCCCCATCTGTGTGGAACTTCAAACTTAAACAGGGTCGATAAACCTAGAAGTCTCCAAAGAACAAGAACACCATGAAATTATTACCATCATGTGAAGCTTTTCAATCTGCACCCAAAAAAATCTAAATCATCCCTTTCTTATTTCACTCTTTCTTTCAAAGAAGTGACGAGCACTTCAAAGGTGTGTTGCTTTGTAGAGCTGCAGAGTGTGAGGACTTGCTGAACTTGCTTTGGCACTCCGTGTAAACGTGTCAAAGCATGGCAGCAAATCTTGGTCCTGACTCTGGGTTGAGTGGATCAAAGTCTGGATCTTTGGTTCCCTTCATGCTGAGGCCCTGACCTTGATAAGGCATTGTCAGCCCAGGCCTTAAAGGGGGTTGCTGATTGAATGGGACCACCTAGAAGTTCTTTGGGAGGGAACTAACTTCTGGAATCCTTGATACCCAAAGTATCTCCTCCCAGTTTGCGCCTCTACAGATTCCTTGACTTCCTACAAAAGCATCCTCTCAGAGTGAAGCTCGGACTTTTCAGTGTGTTCACCGCGCTGTGTTTTCAGGAAGTTGGAGGCAGTTTGTGCAGGTGTTGTGCGAGCAGTGTGTCTGTTTCCATTTGAACGAGGTGCAATAAGTCATTCTTCACAGTGTGTCAGGTCTTGTCCAGATTTGTGCCTTGATTCTTGTTAGAATCACCTCCACCTCTGCAGATAGAGACTTTCTCCGCCTTGGTCTAAGTCATGTTTGAGGTCGACTGCTCGCTGGTTCACAGTCCCAAAGAAAGACTCCGGCTAAAGGTCGTAACATTTAGTGTGTGGCGGATGTTCGCCTAAGACCTACGTTGAGAAGACCCGGGGTCAGCTGCAGACTAATGCATGAAAATACTCCAAAGTACTCTTCTGAGATCACCTGGCTGGCAGCCTTTTAGAGCACTTTGAACGATCTGAGTTTTTCCAGCCGACAGTCTTTGATACGGACTCTTGTGGAAGTAAAAACGTCAGCACACGGCGGAGAGTGCGCAAAATAATTGTTCACGTAGAAAACTGAATGTCCCTCAGCTGCTTCAATCCTTCCGTTCTCTATTTGTCATCGATTTATTTTCTCTTTATACATGATTGGTTTGGACTCAGATGACCGACTGTCACGGAGAGGGAAAACGTCCAGAGTGATTTCAGTTGAAGGATTTTAAAGGTGTCAGGGACTTGTTTTAACGCGTTCACCTCTCTGGGAAATGGCTAAACGTTGGTGAGCAATGGTAGCCAACGTACTCCTGGTGTGCAAGAGTTTGTATAAATAACCCAACATCAGGGGTCTAGGACTTCTACTCGTATTGCTGTTGTACCAAACAGGTTTCAATGTAATTACATTTTTACTAGCATCACATCAAACTCTAAAATTCTGGTATCCTGGCAATCCTAAACCGTAAGGGGCGCCAAAGTCGATGAACACGAGGTGTCTTTTATACAAGTGTTATTCCAAGGATCGGCCGGCAGCTGTCCCTGAGTCTTTGTTGGAAAAAGAAAGAAGTGAACTTTTGGTATTTAGACGTTCTACTCGACGATTTAACTCAAACTCGACTCGAGCCTGGGTGTCACAGAGCGAGCAGGTGGAGGTGATCTAACGGGTTCTACCAAACGGATTCTGCGTCGACGTAAGAAGTTTGATCTGGTTTAAGGAGGTTTTTTGATGAAAGGACAGCGACAAAAAGAAGCGACCGCCACACGAGAAGCGTGCGTCTGTCGGATGTTTTTAGGGAATAAAAGAGATAAATCTATTTTTTTTATTTTATACTCTGTACAAGAACCATGATGTAATTACCTCAATTAAAACCTATTTTACTGCCTAAAGTTCTATTGTTGTAAAATACAATTATTTTCTGTAGTGTACAATCTTCCAGTTTTATAAAAAGGAACGTGTGACGTCTTGCAGAAATGGTCGGTTTACGTTAGTATTCGTGTGTTTCCTTTGATTTGGGATGAAAAGACGGACACTCGTCTGGAGGATGTTTGTGGATCAGACGAGATGATGTGAGAAGTTTCTCCGTCTTTGTTTCACTTTGACTCTTTCTTTCATGTCGGGCGAGGGGTGGGGTTGTTTGAGGGCTTTAGTGTCATAATTTAGCCTGCTTTTATAGATACACATGAAATGTGTTTGGGGATCTTTTGGCATTAACAAGGGAAGAAGAACAGAGAAAACATTTCAGACATATTTCTTTGAATCCTGTTTTATCCTCTCCAGTCTGTTGGATGGCTCCTGATGTGTAAATATTACTGATTAAATTAATTTAAGGATTTCTGGCTCTGTGCTTTCTTCATTTCTTCAACATGTTGTGGAGCTCCTGTCTTTCTGTATCAGCATGTTATCCTCATCTTTATTTACAGGGCGGGATTATTGCCATTTGAACCGTTTAGGTCCAACAGAGGCGCTGCTTGTCAACAGGCAGGGCAGGTGACTGTTTGGGTCCAAGACCAGTAGGGGTCCCCTGAGGGCTAACAAACTTTAAACCATAGCAGTGACTCAAAATGTAGCTAAGTGTTGCAGCATTATGGTGTGAAACCAAAGTTTGTCAATGAAGTCATCAAAGAAAAAGGAAGAGCGGGATTATCCGTCCATAAAGAGTTGTTAAAGGAGCTCTATGTGACTTAATACCACGTTATAGTGACACTGCAGGCTGTTAAGCGTACTGTACCAGTAACATATTGCTCGCTCTCGCTGATACTTGGCAGCATAATGTTTACAGAGGAGGTAAGTGGACATACACATGTGAAAGTCTGTGAAGGAGTCTGTGTTGTGC